TGAGGTCCAGCGGTGCACACTGCGATCGGATCCTTGCGGTTGAGGTCGAGGCGTGCACACTGCGATCGGATCCTTGCGGTTGAGGTCCAGGGATGGACACTGCGATCGGATCCTTGCGGTTGAGGTCCAGGGGTGCACACTGCGAGGGGATCCTTGCGGTTGAGGTCCAGGGGTGCACACTGCGATCCGGAGCTGGCCAGACAAGATCGGCGAAGCAGATTGGCGATGAAGATTGGCGAGGAAGGAAGCAAGGAGGAAGGAGGAAGGAGGAGGACGAGGAGGCGGCGGAGGCGGGAAGAACAACTGTGATAAAATCTAACAACCCTCACCTGGCAGGTGGGGAAAAAGAAGGAACTAAGACAAGAACGACGTCATCCATGATTCACCTTTAGTTTCGCTTCCATAGCACGTAGAGATCACACCGCCGGACCTTCACCGCCGCCCGGCTGAGAACGTGCTGAGCGTGGAGCGCCGCTTCTTCGCCGTCGGGAACGGCCCAGACGCCGCCGCGGTGGGTGGGTTGCGGCGTCGCTGGGTCGGGCGCAGGGTTCGCGTCGCGAAAGAAAGCAGAGTTGATTCCAGGGTTCACAAGGTGTCTAGGGTGTCTAGCTATAGCTCCTTAGGGGTTAAGGGGGGTCCACTAACCACCCCTTAGGGGGTCCTGGTTAATGTTTATTATTCGTAATTCCCAGACGCTCCAAAAACAGCTCTTGGTCCCTCAAAACCCAAAAGATTTGAGGGTCCGGACCCCTATTTAGGAGGGTCCGGCCCCTACTTAGGAGGGTCCATGAGCGTCTGAGTTATATAATCATTTATGAACACCTGAAATCGACACAACCGTTGGCTATTGAACTTATAATAATGTTGAAGATTGTTGACGTAATTTGAGCTAACATAGATAACCGTTTGCTATTAGGCCATATTGGGCCCGTAATGTACTTCTAGTAAACTCTTGAACTGAACACACTAATTTACCGTTCGTCCGTTCATCCAATCAATCCAACATGGGCTCTGGAAGTTGACGGGCCAACCGGGCGTTTTGTGGTAACATCAGAAGCCGTCAACCGACCATTTGCGAGTTCTTTTTTGCACTAATTACCTGTTTTGACCGTCGACTTGGGGGGGGTTTGAAGCAACGCTTGGGAAGGAATAGCAGGCAGTCAGACGTGGGGTTTTCTGGAACGGGAGTTCATGGAAGTTCAACAAACCCAAACCCATCGACGTCTTTTGGCACATGGCACAACCTTTGGATGAACCCGCACATGGCAACCTTAAGCGAGGTTGCTTCATCTGGGTCCACTTGAAGCAGCGCTTCACAGGGGCCCCTGATCCCTATGTCTCGGTGAGCTTCGCTGCGACGCTGCTCTTCCTCGCTCTCGCCACGAGGCCCCAGATGTGGCCTTTGATCGAGATTCGGGCATGACCTACGATGGGTCGGGGGCCACGGGGCTGGGAGGTTTCGCCGTGGACTCGCCGTCAGGCCGAAGGGAGGAAGGGAGGGGATGGAGCGGCCGAGACAAGGCCGAGCTATGTGGTTGCCTCATGTTGCTTCAGGAAAGATTCTGGAGGTGCAATTAATAAAAAACTATACCCTTTTTTAAAGTCTCAAGTCATTCCCTCATTCACTAGAAAATGCCCTGGTTCGAAAAATGGCTGCCGTAGAAAACCCACCACATCCTCCACCCCAATCCGGTCCGACAATCGGGTCCCTCCGTTTTTTTCCTCTCAGGACGAGCTTGAACCTGACGACCGGAGGATTACAGCCGGAGGCACCCAGGACGTGATGAGTCTCGCGGTGATCTCTTCAGAGATCGATGAAGGTCCATTTGGTCCTTGATATCTTTTGGGTCCTTTTTTGTCCGTCACTCATAGCATATCTGAAGACTGATACCACAAGCATCCACCTCCTGGGACCGATAGCCTTGGACTAAGTAGCCTGTTGGATGGTAGGTGTAGCCTCAGGCGCAGCATGGCAGAAAAGAGAACATACACAATCATACGCTGTCCGCAGCCATTGTGGTCCGGTGAGTGGAAAGAAAGATCGTTGCCATGGCAGTGGGAAAGAACAAGCGATTGACGAAGGGTGGCAAGAAGGGTGGCCTCTCGGTTCGTTGGATTTGTGTGCACGTTCGGCAGGTATTTTTGGTTCTTTTTTCCTGGATGCAACTATACTATATTCTAATTCGACGACCACCTGGGCGTGGGCGGGTGGACGGAACAAGCCATTGTCTGGGGGGGAGGTGGAATGAAGTGGGAGCCACAAAAGTCAACAACGAGCGAAGCCCGTCAAATATGGTGAAGCGGACGTAGACTCTGGAGGTGCCCAGTCTGCAGACTGATGAATAAATGTACATTGTAATAACCCCCCTCATTATATGAAGGGTTTTTACATGGCTTTTAGAGTCCAAATGGGGATGAAAAAACCATGTAAAAACCCTTCATATAATGAGGGGGTTTATTAATCAATAATCAATCTACATTGTTGGGGTGGGTAGGTGTTTTGACGGCTTCACTTCACCTGGGAGAGTGACTAGATGTGCCACCCCAACCTGGGGCCAGCCAGTGGTTCGACCGCACGTGATGTGGGTGTGTGGCGAGGGAGTTCGAAGACCGTTGGCAGGTCAAAACTGATGTTTTGCGAAGAACTATGTCATGTCTAATGCAGGTTAAAGACTGACTGTTAAAGAGGTTTTAAACCATGTTTTGCAGGCTAAAACCTTCTTCAAGAGGTTCCACAACTTTTCCAAGATGTGTTTCTCCTCCGAAACAGCTTTGGACCTGCCGGTTCAAGGTGGTCGTATACGGTATATCCGCGGCATTGGTTGGGCGAAATGGGAGATGATCGAGATGATTGATGGTCCGTTAGGGCCTCCATCCCAAGAAAGTGAAGCCTTGAGAAAGGATTCTTGTTTGATTCGCTGACAGAAACTGCAAGCACTAGCCCAGGCCCACATCCAAATGTCCAAATCCTTGTGTTTGCCCAAACCTCCACCTTCGATATATCCGCAGCTTTTACCTCCGTGGCGAGGTAAGAAGAAGGCTGGAGATCCCTTCCTCCGCAAGGAATGGTATGACATCAAGGCTCCGAGTGCCTCAGCAGAATGTCCCAATACCTCCTTGAGCGGAAGTCATGGAAGGAGAGATAGGGTGGTCTGGGACAGTGGGGACTTGCCCTACTTGGGCTCGCGGGATTCAGCAGCTCAGGAACCCACCCATTCTTTTTCTGATGAAGACATGACAGAAGGTGCAGATCTCTTGAACCATCTTGAACCATATTGTGCTTGGGTTCCACATTCTTCCGCTGATGCCGGCCCTTGGCGGCTTCTTTTGACCGAACACCCTTTGTACAACTGCTTCTCCCACCTCTTTCCACCTCTGAAAGTTCTTTGGTGCTTCACCACCCATGTGAGGTATGTTCACCGTGCGGCAGTGTGGTAAGACCTTGGTCTCGAGGCGGGGCTGCGCGAGCGAAAGACATCGATAAAGCGCGATGAATGCCGCGATGAAGCGAAAGTCGAAACGGCAACAGAGCAGGACAGCAGGACAATCCATTTGATGTATTTTGATGTGCCTTTTGTTATCCCAAACTTGCTTTTGGTTTTGCTGCTGTTGGTGATGTGCCTTTGGTGATAGCTGATGTGCCTTTCTGAACATAACGAAAGGCCATGCTGTGCCTTTCGTGAGCATGATGTGCCTTGGAGTGTCCGCTTGTACGTCTGGGTGTCCAATGGATCTCCCATAGTAGTGTAGGGTTGTCCATTGGACAACCAGATGATCGGATGGTCCTGGTATGTTCGTTTTTGATGCTTTTCATATATTTTCATGGCTCTGGAATGGCTTTTCTCCTTTCGATTCACCCTTTTTCTTTTGCTCCCCCTCCGCCCCAGCCTCTCCGCCGCCAACGCCTCCGGCCTCATGGCCTGCCTCCCATCCACGTCCCCGGCGACGTCCCGGACGCGAGGACCCAAGGCACCAAGATTGCCACGGAGGAGCTGAAGGGTCGCGTCTTGGAGGCGACACCGGGGACCGGAAGGGAACGAGGGTGGCCCGGAACGAGGGTGGTTGGGTGGACAAGGGGTGGGGTTGCGTGTTCCGGTGTGGAGGGATGTGCTGAGCTGAGTTGATGAAATGGTGGAGGGATAGGATGCTCAGGTTTATGACTTAGTAGATGATGTGGAGGTGTTATGACATGACATTTGATGGCGGAGGTGAATCGGTTCATGAAAGGGCGCTTCAAGGATCTTCAAGGTGGATTTGATGATGCTTCTTCTTAGCCCAAGTTTCCATCCAAATACTCTTCATGTCATGCACTTATATGATCTTATATGCATGTTGCTTCCCGCTATGCACAGACCCATCCCTAAAATGGACAGATTCCCTCTGATTCGCTACTGATACTGAGGACTAAACCAGTGCTATTGTTGGGAAGTTATGTCGGGTTATATAGTTGCCGATTGGCTTGGCGTGGCAGGTGAATTTGGCAGACCTCAACAACGACGAGGACAGGGGGACACCGACATAGAGCTTACTGGTTGTTAAATGTTTTAGACTGGAATGATTGATCCGACTGGCTATATATATATATATGATAAACAATTCTACTATAAAATGCAAAACGGCCGACCACTGGGAGTAGTAAGGGGGATTATATATAATACATTATATACATAAGTTATAATCTTTTCACGTGCCACCCAGCATACATTGTGCTTCAAAAGTTCATCCCGGTAGCTGACCAGACTCTTGGGGAACCCAAGGCAGCTCAGCACAGCTCAGCTGCTCAGGTGGAAGCTCAGCCCGCTCAGATTTGCTTCAATTTACAAGTCACCCGCCCAACAATCCATGGAACCGACACCAAAGGGGTCCGGACTCTCCAAACTTTGTTCCATTTAAGGGCTCAGATTTCGATCGAACAATCTGTAGGGCGCTGTAGAAGGCAGTTTTCATGTTTCTCCTGCCAGTTTCTTCTACTTTGGCCACCTTCCGCCAGGACCAGGCCTCCAAGAAGATCCGCCTTTGCATCGAGGAGGCGAAACAACGGCGCGTCAGCTCGCGTCAGCTGGGCGACCGAAGCTGCCACGCATGAGAGAGACAGAGAGAGAGAGAGATCGGTGTTTTTCGCGCCCAGGGAGTGGATGAGTGTATTCCCTAGACTTCCGTTCGACCATTTAAACAAGCGGAACGACCTGGGTTTAGTGTAACATCGTTCATTGATTCGGGATTCAGCCTATTCATGGTTGGCCAGGAAGCCTAGGGTATTCAGTGCCCACACCAAAACCGTGGTGCGACCGTCTGACGACTGAACGACATGAAGCAGCTGAAGGAGGCCTTCATGACCTGTGCATGTGCAGGTGCAGGGCCGTAGCTGCTTGACGGACTTCCACGGCATGTCCTTGACCCGTGACAAGCACCTTGGATCAAAACGTCTGAAACAGGGTAAGGAGAACTGGGATGAATATCCATCCCAGACAGAGGCGGAGGATGTCCTTTGATCATGTACAAGAGGGTATGCCAGTTGCTGATAGGAACAAGTCAACTCGATCTTTTGTACAAAAGGAACCTTGCGTTCCAGGAATAGGATCTTTCAATATTTTTCATGTCATTTCATGTCTATGATTGTTGGTGAGAGGGAGGGAGAGGGAGAGAGAGATAGTGTGGGTGACATATTTTGTTTGAGATCTGATGCCGCCTCTTTTTCGGGGGAGATGCAGATCCTTGCTGGGCACAGTCTTATCATGACTCATCTTATCATGGGCAACGTCTCAGACGTCCCTGTTCTTTCTAGCTGTGACGTTGGAAGGAAGGGTTGAGTGGCACCAGTTCCGACGAACCAGTTCCGTCCCCTTCTCCGGACACCCAACGACTCGACCTGAACACCCGCGTCTTGGACGTTTCGGCCGGGGAACGTCTGACCTGTGAGTCATGCGAACGGCTCGCACGCGCCGAGGATTTGCTCCTTGATCAAGAAGTGCCCTGGCAAGATTGCCGTTTAGGTTGAGGATACTTCCCCCTGACTCTTACTCTTGTTGGATTGTTTTGCTGGGAATCATCTGATCCCGGGATCTGTGGAACTGTCCTTCGATGAAGATCAGGACCCCGTATTATTACGCGTGTCCAACAAGGGCGCCCCTTAAAGAACCTTTTTATGCTGTCCCAGATAATTGAACCACCCCAAAACCTGACAGGCCCGGCGGTATACTCATCTTTTTCAAGTGAGTTGAAACCACCAACCAGTTGCTGTTTCTTCCCGACCGCTTCCCGGGACCTCCCGACGATCGAGGTGGCAGACGCTGATCGAGGCGCATGTGGATGTGAAGACCACCGACGGCTATGTGGTGCGCATGCGGCTTGGATGCTGAAAATGAAGCCCATGCAAACTGGACATGAAAAAACCTTTTTGGTCCCTCCCACAGCCAAACCCATGTCCAATTGGTTCATGTCCGGTTTCCACTTGCCCAGCGATTCCGGTTGTGGTCCCCATGTGGTTTGTAGCGGTTTAGGGTTTCGGGGATTCTTCTCACGGACCATTCATGACGACCATGGTGTTGTTCAATTTCGAAGCCAGGTAACCTGACCTAACTCTTGGGTGACTGCTGAAGAATGCTGATATGCTGAAGCTGAAGATGCCCTGGTTGAGGAGCACACTCCTATTTATAGGTGATTCATTTGGCCTAACTTGTTCAGACCCCCAACTCAGCCATGAAACGAGCTCCACCGAGCCAGCAACCGAGGTTTGCCATCGCTTTCACCAAGCACCAGCGG